GCTTGGGACTCTTTCCTGGATCTCAAGTTGCCATCTTCAAGACTGCTTCTGACCCAGGGCAGGGGACAAGGTCAAGTTACAGCTTCACAAGCTCTTCCACTGTCTTTTAGGAGCCTTTCTCCTAGCTAAACAGGTGTTTAACTTCTGCAAATCTTTTACTATCATTCAGTATTCTTATAAGGTTGAATCTACCAATTCTTGGCAGCTTTTCAACATTTCTGGGGAGAAACGAGCCATCTGGAGTTACTTACTCCACTATTTTAACTGACAAGATCCTGACTCATTTAAGACATGAAAATAATTCTGATGCCAAAATCTGACAATTCATTACAAAAAAAAGCATTGTATCCTAATATCTCACCATTGTTGTAATCATCAAACTAGCAAAAGAAAAAACAAAATCATCTTAATAGATGCAGAAAAAAGATTTGATGAATCTCAACGTATTTATTAAAACTCTCAGCAAACAAAGAAGGATGTTCTCCAACATGATAAAGAGTTATTTATTAAAAGCTCCAGCTAAAAATCATATTGGATGTATGGATAGCTGTCTGCCTACCCAATGAGATCAGGAACAAAGTATAGGAGTCTATTTATAACATTTTTTCTACAGTGTAACAGGTGCTCTAATTAGATATGAGAAACAAGCATAAATATTGCAAAGAAAGTAGTTGTTATGGACTAAATTGTGTTCCTTCCTCCATTCATGTGTTAAAGTCCTAACCTCCAGTATTCTTTAAGATGTGATTGTATTTGGAGATAGGGACTTGAAAGAGGTAATTAAGACCCTACTCTATTGCTTTTTCGTTGACACTAGCAATCAATCACCATAAGGACTTTGAAGGGATAAGCATACATTTTGCTTAAGTCACTAAATCACTGCAGGCAGTGAGGTCAAAAGGTCTAGCTGATTACGTCCTTATTTTGGGAAAGTGGAACAAGGACTCAGAAAGAAAAATCAATATATGTAATGCTATGTTAATTCATTCAACACATATATAAGGAACAACTATCATGTGTTAAGCAGTGTTTTAGGAGCAGGAATACAATAATGATCATATGAAGTTTATATTCTAGTGAAAGGTGATATATCTAATACAGTATTTTAAGATATTTCTTCCCATAGTAGAGAATGAGAAATACAGACACTAGACAATATTCTATGTATAGCAATGTCAACTCTTAAAGACAGCAAATTCAATTCTTACATTCAAGTTCTTTTTTTAAAGTGAACTTAGCAGGACAATTTATTCTGTATGTCTGGGCTTATTCATAGCCCTCTATTTTGCTTATCTTCTGTATATTGCTGGTAAAGGCATTAAGTTTAATCTTTTATTTCCTATTACAAATCAAAAGTAATACATTGTGGTACTTTTTATTATAATTAACTATATATTAGTGAGGATGATGATGATGATGGTACTAATAAAGGAAACACAAATAAATGGTCCTTAGAAGCAAGACAGGATCACTTATAGGAACCGCTAGTTGATTCAGAGAATCTTTCTTGTTTCACTTGACTACAATAATCCCCTTCCAGTAAAAAGAAAAAACAAGTGAAAGTCTTGGGACTCCTTAGAGGTACTCAACCAATGACAGTTGCTATATAAGATTATATAACCTAAAAAGGAAAATCTCCAAGACAAAATGTGGGTATGATCAATAAAACCAACTAAATCCAAATTATCCTAGGGTGAGTGTTTCTCAAAGATTTATCGGAATTTAGAGAACCATGAAAGAGGAACAAATAGAATGTAGCTGCAAATGTAGCAGAGAAATGGCTTTGTAGCCTGATTTAGGAAGGATAATGCCAACATCTGAGATCTTACATTTTATTTTTTTATTTTTTGGTACTGGGAATCAAACTCACGACTTGCTTACAAGGCAGGGGCTTATGCCTGCTGAGCTAAATCCCCAACCCAGTAACATTTTATTTCTGGAGCGTGTATACTCAGTGTCCTCAGGCTTAACGTAACAGGAAAAAAATGTGTGTCAGTTTCCTCTTATAGTAGAAAATGGGTAATTGCTCAGGAAGGGGAGGTTCTAGGAAAGCTGGGAGAGAATGTTTTGCTGCTGTATAAGCGGAAAACAGGAACGAAAATTGAGTGTTTCCAGAATAATGCCTTTTAATAGTTCTTAATCCAAGTTTAGATTTTCCCAAGTAGTATTTTTCTGTTCTACCACGCTCAATAAAAGAAGGTGAAATATAACATTCTAAACATTGATACATCAAAGAATATATTTTAAGTGCAATTCTGATAATATATATTTTTTTGTGATCACAAGGTTGTTTCTTGAGCCATGAGTCTGGCCTCCTTTACATGTTTAACATTAATAATGTTGGCAGAATGGTTAAGGAGGATACCAGAGGTAAAGGAATAAAAGACTGGTAATAAAGATTAATGGCCCTTCAATAAATGTCCTGTATAGTACTTAATGATTAAAGGATAAGAACAAAGGAAACAAAGGATATAAAACAGCAAAAATGTATATTAAAAAATTCAGATACACTAAAGAGAGGAAAGCAATTAAAGAGGTGTCAAACCAAGCAGTGTAACGTGGGCAATTAGTGCTAGGTCACTGGCCTTATGATAAACAGGGTATCAAAACCCACTGTAGCACATCTTGGAAAGTTTATGTCTCCCATTTGGTTAGGTGCCACAGCAAAGGCCAATGCAATAACTTTGCCTTGCAGAGTAATCTGCATACACCAGCTCTGCAATAGGCAGAATGGCTTAAGAGGGCAACCTGAGGTCCTTCAGTGATGATCTAGGCCATAATTTTGCTAATGGCACCATATTAGAACAATGAAAGAAAAATACTAGACAGTCCTTTACATGAACAGAAAAGAAGTTAATAATTCCTGTGGGTATCTGGAAATACGAACTTTTTAAATATGAAAAAGGTTACTGTATTTTTTTCACTGAAATACAACCTCTCTTCCATTGAGAAAGAGAGAGAGAGAGAGAGAGAGAGAGAGAGAGAGAGAGAGAGAGAGAGAGAAACTACTAACAACAAAAAATAAAACCACAAGTGAAAAATTGTTTCTGAAAACTTTGTAGAATTGTAACAGCTTCTCTTTGTTAAGTTGATTGGTACAGCAACATTATAAAATGACTATTAGGATTCATTGTACACAACAGAAAGTGCTGAAATGTCAGCAGACTGTACAGCAAAAAATAATGGGTTCTAAACTCCTGTTAGTCAAAAACGATTTTATTTCAAATTAGAAATTGATTTTTTTTTTTTTTTTTTTTTTTTTGGACACAAGCCCTTTCCAGGCTTCTGGCTTCTGTAGCTGGGACCTGGAGAGATTAACCTCCACGATAGCAAGGACTGGCTTGATGATACCTTTCTCAAAGTGCTTTTCAACTGCTACTTTCTAATGTTGCTGTGATCTTAACCAATAACACAAGTTATTTGTCCTTTTGCTATTACACTATATTTTTCTGATTTTTCCATTTTATTTTAGTGCTGACACACAACATCAATTTGTTGACAAGTTAACAGAAGACTATGTTAAGCCTTGTGGTGTAATCACCAGGCCAATTCTGGCTGGTTCTCCAATCTCCAAAGTAAAATGTCTAAGAATAGAGAAAGCTGAAGTAAGAGTTTCCCACCTCTGAAAGAGTACTGCTAAAGAAAGTAAAGAAAATTCTTTCTCATATAGTAAGTCTGCTCAATTTCATTTTTGTTTTTGGTAAGAAAGTCTAAGAAGAAGCTTCTAAGCTGTTCTAAAGCAATGAAGGTCTCCGGACATTTGCTTTAAGTAAAAAACAAAAAAACTCATACTTCTGCTCTTGTTTTATATTGTAAGTCACCCTTCTGAAGCTTTGACTAGTTTTCGTATCTCACTTATCCAGGATAGGATTAGACAAATTCTAGCTTAGTTTTAATTAGAACAAAACCCACAACTAAGCAGATAGCACGAGTGGAAAGGCAGGAAGAGATTCACTTGCAAGAAACTGCCTAATTCTCAATCAATCAGTAAAAGAGTGGCTAAAGAAATTATGTTGATTCCTGGTGGAAAGATAGCAGCCTGGCACAAAACAGAAGTAAATAAGAAGGAAATCAGAGTTACTCATTGTGAGTAGAGAGAAATAAAAGATGTCTATTAAAGAGATGTGAGGAGAAAATTCAGGCCTCGTTGGTGTTTTGCTTTCTATACAACTTTTCTGCACAGTGAGGCTTATTCCCCTCCAAAACTCTTCTTTTAATTCTCCTAAGAAAGATTATGGTGGCCTAGGGCCACTTCATTAATAACCAGGGGGAAAAATAAATTTCCTTCACTCAACATTTCAGTTATTTATAATAGATTTCTTTTAAAAAATCCATCACATATCAAATAGGAAGCATTACTGGCACTCAAAAGACTGCTAGTCAATATTTGCTTTAGATTTATGACTTTTGCTTTAGATTTATGACTTTTGTTTTAAACAACAGTGTGGAGTTATCCATGATCCCTTCTTCAAGTTTCCTGTCCCCTAAGTTTCCAGTTAAGTGAAGAATAACTGTTGCTGTTAGGGTTTACTTTCCCAGGAGAGATGTATGTTCAACTTCTTTTCATCTTTATTCAACTTGGACATTATTTTTGTCTATGACCATACTTACTGATTAATCCTTAAGAATCTGTTGTTTGCAAAAAGATGATGAAACTGCAAAGAGTTCCTCTATCAATATTCTAAGGGAAATGAAGACACATTTCACTAATCTAGTAGATGTCCTGCTTGTGGCCTTGCAGGCAAAGTCAGTTAGCAATATTAAATTCTGCTCAGCATTTCAAGAAATCATCTGGCATTCACTGGCTGACAGCCACCAGCAACCACCTTCCCCAAGCATTTTGGTACTACAGATGTTAAACTTACCCCTCTGGGGGCTGGGTATTTAGCTCAGTGGCATAAGCGCCTGCCTTGCAAGCAGGCAGTTGTGAGTTCAATCCCTGGTACCAATAAAAAGGAAAAAGACAAAAAAAAAAACAAACAACAACAAAAAAAACTTACCCCTCTGGGGGCCACATGTATCTTTCTTTTGACACATCCACTTGGCATCATCTTCTGTATGTGACTGAAACCCAATGGTCTTTTTCTCCTTCTTATTCTCTCCACTATTTGGGGAGTGTTGGTATTTTTTAAAGGATGATGAAGTTCTGGGAAGCCATCCATTACATTTTGACTTTAATAAACTGGAAGAGAAAATATGAATGAGCTATAGACAGCATAGTAGGGGAGGTATTGAGTATATAAAGTTATTTAAATTCAATGAATTGAAATGTAATTCATGACAATAAGAACTTACTTTTTCTTATTTTTTATTTTCTTAAAACTTTTAAAATTCTTTTAATTTGAGTAATTTACAAAAGGTCTATTTTGTGTTCCACTCCAACAGTTTTACAGAAGCAATGGTCTTTATCCTCAAAAAGCTTACATTTGGAGTTAGGGAAATGACACTCAAACACATGCTATTACTAATAAAACCACAGTATGACTAAGAATTTGAGTATCTCAAGAAATAAAAAAGTATACTAAAACAAGATTTTCATATCTAAAATGTATTCCAAGTACTAAAAATGAACATTAGGAATTAAAATATCACCCATATATCTCAAAATATATTTTTATTTCCATTTTCAATTGTTTTAATATTTGTTAAGTACGTAGGGTATGGAAAGAACAATGCAACAATGCTTGTGGAAGATATGGACTCTCTCCTTATATGATATAGTTATAAAATTGACATGGCAAATATGAACTAAAAGACATTTTAATTAAAATGGATACACTTTAATTAAAGTGAATACACTTTACTGTTTTTTCTCATTAATAAACTTTGTTTCTACTATTAGCATATTTCCACTTACATTTTATTATTTTAGGAAGAAATATTCTGATGTGTTTCTGTTAAATTTCCCATAGATTCATGCTACTTTGCTTTAAAAAAATTTTTTTTTAAAAAGAATAAAACTAAACATAACAAAACAGAACAAAGCAGACAGAAGCAAAACAACGTAAGTGACACAGATTTCAAAGCAAGATAACAGGAGATCTACAGTGGCTACCATAATGTCTCTTGTTTTTTTTTTCTAAATAGTTGTCTATATCTTTATACTCAATGAATTCATACAAAACAAAATAGTATAAAACTTATCAGAACAGAGTAGTAATGAAGGCATTACAGGCCTTCAAAACCAGACAATAAGAAAATTAACAATGGCAGCCATAATGTCTCCTGTTCTCTTCAAAATAGCTGTCCACATGACTCATGTACTTTGGTTTTATCTTCCCTATGACCACATACAATGTGAAAATTAAAGTCAAGGAAAAAAAGGACTGACAAACTGATAGAGATAGTTACTCAAAAAGTAAGATTCTAAGAATTAAGATGTCTAAACTCTCCAAAAGGATGGCCAGGATTCAAATCATATAAGTTTATATATGTCGATGGTTTGTGTTTAGTAATGTTTTCTCATATCATAACTTATATTAATAAGAACCAAGAAGTTAAATGGCTTCATGCTCCCAATGACACAAAGAAACAATAACAGTATATAGCTTTATGTAGGCATAATGAAGTAAGTTTTTACTTCCTTTGTCTTTTGCAATGCAGAACACCTTCTTGTGCAGACCTACCAGTAGAGGTGTGCCTTAGTTACCAAACTTTTATTCCTAGGACAGGAAATTAGAGGTAATGAAACCTTCAGTGTGAATATAATTTATATCTCAGATATGCCCCCAACTAATCAAACCCAACCACTGCATCTGTATTTGTTCACGGAGAAAAATTAATGTGACCATAATTCCTGGCATCTCCCAAATCCATTCGTGCTCAGATCAGCAGAAAGTATTCATTCTCATATCAATACTAGCCAGTGTTACTGGTCCCAATAAGGATTGCTTTCTGCTTCTTTTCTCCATTTTACATAAGCATGCTTCTGTATCTTTATTCAAAACCCTATCCTGGTCCTCCTCCAACTTGGCTTCCAATTTCCCTAAAATAAAGGTTACTATAAAAATAAAGTCTTTTTGGATTCCCACAGAGATGGCAGATCAGTAATTAGCAAGGTAAAGAGCCTCTCTGACAGAAACATCTCAGATGCTAGAATTTAACGCCATGCAGAAGACCTGACGAAAGGAGAGGGATTCTCATGACCCAGGAAGAAACTAAGGTTAAAAAAAGAAAAGAAAAGAAAAGAAAAATGCGGATGGAAGGTTGGAGCCAGTCATGCTCTCACCAGAGCAGGTCTATGCTGTACTAGACACCCTGGAGTCTGATGACTCATGGTCACACTGAACTCAGGGGTTGGTGAGCCTGATGACCTCAGGAGGATGCATCACAACAGAGAATGGAGCTGGTGTGGAGATCTGCACTAGCCCACAGTGATTGCTCAGAATTTGGTCCTCCCGTGGGAGGGGGTGACCGGCTGGGTGACATATTAGAATCAGGCAGGATTCTAATATGTCAGGACCTGAACCTGGAGCCATAGCAGCTTCAGTTGGCTGCTTCTGGTGCAGAGCAGATTGGTGGGAACTGGTTGGACTGGGTCATGCCGCTGGGTGGGACTCAATAGCCAGGGACGAAGTTGCTCCTGAAACTGTCCCAAACTGGTTCCATCCCCACATGCACACTAACGGGGGAAGACCCCTGGTGATTGACTGGCTCAGAGGGGAGGGGCCACCCTGCACTGCCCCTGCTTATACTTCAGTGATCAACAGCAAACTGGAGAGGGCAGCAATCCCTAGCTAGTATGCTTCAAAGCAATTGTAACCAATACAGAAAGGGCCTGGGGCCTCCACTATTTACTTGTTTGTAAGAAACAAGAAACATGACAAGAGAAAGGAACAACAACAACAAAAATCTCCAGCTGCCAACTCAGGGAATATGGATCCAGGAGAGGTAAACACAGAAGAGATTGAGGGCAGCAAATATGCAATATCAGAAACAGCATCAGCAGACATAAAGAAATAACTTCATGACATAGAACTCAAAAACAGAAATACTAATATAATTAAAGCAAGATCTAAGAAGACTAAGAAAAGAAATGTTAAGCACCTCTCAAGAAGACACATATGGAAGAATGGAGGAACACCAAAAAAGGAGGGAAACCTTTGATGAAAAATATTTTAAAAATTCATACATGAAACAGATTCAAGGAGATTACCAGGAAATTAAAAACTCCATCAAAATCTGGCAAAACTGTGTGAAAGAAACTAAAGATAGGCTATCAAAACTTGAAGACAAATTTGCAATGTCTGATCATGAAAGGAAAGATCTCTTAAAAATAACAAGGAACCAGAAAGTAACAATACAAAGGCTACAAGATGACAAGAGGATATATAACTTAAGAATAAAAAATGTGAGTGAAGAAGCAGGGGTAAACACAAAGGAAAACAAAGGCTAGTCACAGAAATATTTAAAAAAAACTTCCCAAGCATAGGAAAAGGAAATGATATTTAGATATATGAGGCATACAGAACTCCAGCCAGCTACAACCAAAACAGATCTACACCCAGACATATGATAATCAAGATCAGATAATCAGAAATTCATTACAAGAACAGAACATTAAAATCTGTCAGAGAAAAGGAACAGATCACCTATAAAGGATCACAAAATCATGACAGCCTTCTCGACACAGACCATCAAATCAAGAACTTGGAGCAAAGTATTCTAAGTCCTGAAATAAAATAACCTCCAACCTAGATTGATGTACACTGAAAAACTATCTCTCAAAATTAATGGAGAAACAAGATGCTTCCATGACAAAGAGGAACTGGGGGAATTCATGACCACCAATCCAACCCTACAAAAAATACTAAAACACATTCTAGAGAGAAAAAAAAGCACTAGGGTTTCAGGAACAGTGGCAGAGAGAGGCCTCACTGAATGGGGCAGACAGTGAAATGAAGGGGAAAAGTAGACAACCAACAGCAGAAAAATAGCATAGCATAGATGAGGCAGAGAAGGCTGGCTATAATCTCTAACATAGATGGCCTTGATACACTACCAAAAAGAAACACAGGCAGGATAGATCAAGGGACAGGGTCAATCAAGATGCTCTGCATACGAAATATAATCAACCTGAAAGAGGGTTAATGTCAAAGATGAGAAAACAATGCTCTATGTGACAGCGAACCAGAGAGAAATAGGGACAGCTTGTCCAGCAGCTGCAGATAGGTTGGAAAGACATGACACTTTGTTGCAGTGGAGAACTACTTAGCTATAAGGAAGGAAAACCTTGAGGCTTTTGTAGGTAAAGGAATACAGCTTAAGATCAATACCAAGGGTAAAAAGGTTCAGAACCACTTAGGTAAATAATGGGTTGCCCCCTAATCTAAAAACTAAAGGAATTAGTGGGGACCAAAATGTACAGTGCACCCCGTGAAAGTGAAAGGGGAGGAACTATCTAAAAAAGGAAGGCAGAGGACATTGTTAATAGTGTATCAGGATTCAAAACCAACATTATTCTCATCACTCTGTTTAGTTTGATTATATTCTGTTTCGGTCTGTCTACTTGTACTAGATTTGAGGGCACAGACAGCTATCCCAAAAATAGCAGGATATACTACAATAACCATCCTTAATTTCCTATTGACTTCATCTTAAGTCCTGTATTACTTACACTGTCTTATTATGACTGATCTGGTTTGTTAGCTGTCTTGACTGATTTTATTCAAATCTATTATGTTTGATAGTATCAAGTCTGAGAGTAGAAGCAACTACTTTGAAGACGACAAGACTCACTAGGATATCCATTCTGGTTTGACTATTGTCTGCTTTTGAAGTCCTATAATGTCTCCAATGTTTTGTTTTTATTGATATTGTTATGTACTGCTATGTTCAATTTTACTATGCCTGATTCTAATGAATTCTATTGAAGATAATAAAAGACATCATAGTGAATGTCTCCATTGTCACCACTGTAGGTCACATTATACTGTGGTTTTAATCTTGTGCTATGTCCATCCTTTTGTTTTGAATGACTCCATTTTGTTTTCTTTCTCATTTGGTTTTGTTCTTTTCAAAATAAAATAAAAACAAAATTTAAAAAATCTTTCTTCATTTACATTTATTTATATATTAATCTATCTACTAATTCTTAATACCTCAGAAAATTATATCTTTGATTTTCACTGCTAATGTCATCTTAACCCATGCCTTCTGTAACTATGACCCCCCAGTTATCTC